TAGGGGTAGCCGGTCGATGACCATCCCTGGCTGCGCTTCTCGATCTTGCCCGGGCGTGCGCGCCCGCGCCCGCCAAGGCCGCCTTGTCTTGCTTCCGACGCGCGCTGCATCCGAACGACACGGAAGGGCGGCGTGCGCGAGGGTCAGTGGCACAAGAAACCACAAGCCAAGTGGGCGGCGAATGGACGGATGCGGAAATCGGGGGTTGCAACTTTCATCCTTTGAACGAATAGCCAGAAAGAAGGCGTTGAAGAGGCAGACATGTTTGGATCTGGAAGGGCTAGTACAGGAAGTGTTGGAGGAGATAAGATTAGAAGAAGGTCAATGGGAGGACCTAAAAAGATGGAAATCGAAAACGGCAAACTCTTAAGGGTAGTAAATCCTCCAAGAAGAAAAAGAAGAAGGAATAGCCAATCGTTTTAATAGGATGACATCTGTGAGAGAATAGAAGAGAACTCTTGCAAACAAGCTACAAGAAAAAAAACACAGCAGATTTATCGCAATTTGAAGATTTAAACTAACTATGAAGCAGCGTTTAAATTAAACATCAACGCTGGATGCTGATTGTGATTACTCAAAAGTTGAAATGTTAAATTCATTATTAGCTTCATCGTAAAGGCATTTACTAACAAAGGGGCGTCACAACAATTGACCAATGCGAAGAAACGGTGGCTCCAATATAGAAGAGTTTGGGCAGAGAAACTTGCTTGATGTGTTAAGCATCCGCGAATTCGGTTATCTGTTGAAATAGCGATTATAGATACAGTAGAACTCCGGTAATCCGAACTGATGGGAGTGTGGTCTGTTCGGATTCTGTAATATTCAGATTATCCGAAAAAAGTGTACCGTACAGTTACCGTACATCAATAGGATTACCAGACAATGCAAAGAAGCCTGTCGATCGCATCATCAAGCAGATTCAGTTCCTTACGGCAAAAGATTACCGAATTCGCAAATTCCTCTAAGTGAAAATAACTGCTACATAAAGATGAGATATCAGTAGTTATCAGTAAAACAATTCATTTTGAAACCTCGAGTTTCAATAATTAGTTGTTCAGTTCTATAGTAATTATAAAATCATTTCTTTACACCACAAATAAACATTTTATTTATATTGTTAATTTTCCTCCATCCCGAAATTTTTCGGGTGGTCCAAAATTTCGTATTTGCAGAGTTCGAATTAGCGAGGTTCTACTGTAGTAGATTTCAGTGGTTTATATTTCAAAGTGAATGCCGGAGCACTGCCCTACCACGCTCCACTAGTGCTCATTCCGCATCCTGTCCTCCGACAAGGAAGAAGAGCAGGAATACCTCTGGTTAAAAGATACAAAGTTCCACAGGCACTGCGATCCTTACGTGGGCTTCATCAGAGAATATAAGGATAAAAATAACAAAGGCAAAATATAACTAAAATTAAGAGTATTTTGTGTTTAACGGTCGCCTACCAAGAGCATCTCAACAACGGATCGCAGAGTCGTATTCGCCCTTTATCTTTGTTTAGATGAGGAGTTGCTTGGCAATCGCTTCCTGGAAACTCCGGCTTTCTCTTTCAGCCAGTCACGTTCAAATAATATTTTACAAGTAACCTACCGAAACAGAAAATAGTTGTGCATTCTGAGCAACATAGAGAAAGTGGAAAGAATTCTTCTAAAATGAACTTGGCCGTCTCTTTCTCCGCAGAAACGATCGCAAGAACAGAAAACGTACAGATCATACGCACCCGGGCCAGCCAGACATAAGAAATTATATTATCTCAAACTTGCAGACAATAATTGTAATATACGTATTTCGTATTTCTAAATACAAGTGTAATTTGTTCCTTCAATTATTTCTCAATTTATTCTGGAATCATTGTTTGTGCTCCCGAGATACCGAAAGGACATTTGCATGCGACTGTTGAACTAACAACAAAAATAAGCATAAGAACATATCACAAACTATCTTAAAATAATCTTACATCATATTTTAGTTTTAAATACGGTGTATTGAACCATTCGTATTGGCATTTCTCTGCACTGGCATATCCACTTCAAAAACTCTTTATTAAAATACCTTCATAGAATATTTCATTTCAGTTTTCACAGTTCGCCGTGAATATTCACGGTACCAAAAGAGGGAACCATTCAGATTTGTTTCAAAGAAACTCTCTTAGCACAAGCTATTTCACAAGTTATCCTTTCAGTTGGGATAAAAAAAAGACGCCTATTTTCTCTTGTTCTTACTTCAAAGAGAGCTTTACAGAAGAGAAAGATAAAATACCTATATTTCCACCAAAAACATAATGCTTTTATTTTATTGGTTCATTCTGCATACATCCATTCGTTATCAACCTTTTCAGTTTCGGTGATTGCCTACCAAATTGTAATGAACTCCGAACCATTTGAGAAAGTACGAATCAATGATTTTACTATTAGTTGATAGGACTCCCGTTTCTGGGAATTACCCTTTTCTGTTCCACTTCGGTGATCGCGGAAGAAAAGTTTCACATGATTGGAGCGCGATACAGAATGGCGAAGATCCCCGAAATAGCGCGATTCGACTGGCACATAGCCGACCTCCGATTTAAAGCATACAGTTCTCTCTGGTCCCCTCAGCATCAACGACTCGCCCAGAGCTGGTTCAAATGCCAGCATTTATCGGGCGCAATGTTTAGGAGACGACATTGGGCCGCGGTCTCTGCGAAAATAAAATCTATCTAGATTTCTAGTACAGTCAAACCGAAATGAAAAATAAATAATACTTACTCCCTCTACAAAGGAAAGGAAAGTATTTTACATGAAGTTTTCTCAACCAAAGAACATCTAGCAGGCACCACGACTAGCTATTAGGCTTCAATCAATTCAACTTAATAATCGAAAATTAGATTTGTCCTGAAATGAGCAGGGAGGGGTTGAGCAAGGAGGAGCATGACTAACGAGAGGGGAGAAAGCGCGGAGTGGAGTTGAGCAGAGTTATTGACACAGTACACTTTACATTTATTGACATTTTCAGTTAATGCGCATGCCTATCAAATTGTCATGAATTCCGAAACTTGAGCGGAGAGGAGTTGAGCGTAGAGGAGTTGAG